AGTTAGCTGAGCCAGTGTCCTGCTGAGAGATGCCTCCTGCAGGGTTTCACTATGTAGTCCTAACTGGCACTGAACTCACAAAGGTCCACCTGTCTCTGCCTCCTGAGTGCCCAGACTGAAGGAGGTCACCTCCACACCTGGCTCACTTGTCAATCCTTTTTTTAAAAAGTTCTTTGTAAATTTTTGTTCTAACAAAATATCTTATGACACTGAATTACAAGAAAGAAAAAAATCTGCAAGACAGGTTTGGAGGAGGGGCTCAACCCTCACCCCCCTCCCGATCCCCTCCCAGTGACCTCAGGTACCCTTCTGATGCCCAGGACTCTGAGGGGGGTAGCTGGTAGCAGTGTCCTGGCTGTGTTGTTGGTGGCTGTGAAGGGAAGCATTTGGAGTGGCCATGGGGAGCCACATTCTGCTTGCACCAGCCTCACTGCCGATGGGCTGAGTGGAGGTGGAGCCTTAGCTCCAGCTCTGGGCTGCTGAGGAACAGGAGGACCACTGGGGCTTCTGCCTCAGAAGGGAAACACAGGCCCTGAACTGTTAAGAATGCAGCCTAACTGGGGACATCCTCCTGGCAGTGAAAGAGAACAGGCCTACTCAGAACTTTGGTGAATTGTGTCTTAAAACTGCATGTAGCCTCAGTTTCCCTTTCCTCACAGATGGAAGGTAAACATGAGTGTGGAGATGGACACCTAGCAGAAGCCCTAACATATGGACACAAAAGGAGGACTGTCTTCTGTCTTCCCCCTCTCCCTTCCCATGCCCCTCCTCTACCCTGGAGAGTCCTGTCCGTCAGTGACCTTTGATACCTATGAAGGGTGGATGCTATGGCCCATTCGCATACCACCAGGATAGGAACTCTGGTATCGGGGTCCACCTGCATCCTGCCTTGTCAGAGGTGAAAAACTCAAGCAAGACCGTCCTCCTGCTCTGAGGGCTCTTTGCCTAACCTCGATCCTGTGGCCCTGAGGACAGCAATGTGCAGGCAGGACTCTGTGGGCTCCATGGCTGTCTTCAGCTCAGCCGTTTATCATTACTCCTGGCCCTGGCCTGGAGAAGGGGACATCCACTATTATGAGACCTAAGACACGGATGTTTGTTCTTGGAGTTGTGGGTGATTTTTCTTCCTCCATCAAGCATCAGACTAAAATGCCAGTCAGGTGTGCAGCCCTGCTGGGCTTTGCAGGGCTGAGTGAAGAAGGGATGAAATCCATCATTGCAGTTGGAGAGGAGCTGAGTGGTCAGGGTATCGTTTCTATGCCACTGGGGGTTTGTAAAACATCCAGACAGGATAACAGCCCACCTCTGCCTCTGACAGTTACTGGCAGGATGCTGCTATCTCAGCATCCTGTGTTCTATAGGTCTTTAATAAAGGGACCCTCCCATCCCCCAGTACTTAGGCTAGGCCCTATGGAGCCTCTAAGGGACCATGTGCAAGCCAGTCTCCTGGCACTCTCTGGGATCTTCCAGCCCACTGGAGGTTGAATGGATGCAGGGAGCTAGATGAGGGGTGTGAATCGTCCTGGGTCTGGCTCAAATTGGGTCTGGAGTAGTCAGACTGCAATTTAAATCTTAGCTGCTAGTCACTGATGTATGACTTGGGACACATCATTTAATTCCCCTTAAATAAATTAATTTGCCTCAGTTCTTCATCTGCAAAACGGGAGCTGATGGCAATATGGGTAGAAATTCAAAATCGGAAATGTGCCATGCTCTGAAGCTTTTTGAGTACTCACACAGACAATCCCAAACCCGACTTCCTATGAGAGGTGACTATGTATAAAACTGTGTTTAGACTACGTGCATAGAGTATGCATGAATCGTAAACTTTGTGTTTAGACTTGGGTCCCATCTCTAAAATAATTCTTTATGAATGTATACACATATATTGTAAAAATCTTTTTAAAGATCTGAAATCAGAAATACTTGCTTCTAAGCACTTTGGATATGGGGCACTTAAACCCTGCCCCTGACCCACAGCACCATTAGAATTAAATGAGATAGAGCGTGTGAAACCCTTTTGCTCCAGCATAGTACCACTACAGATATTTCAGCTTGATTATTAGCAGTCTAAACTAGGGCCTCATGACAATGATACTCCTGATGTTTGGGGCCAGGCAGTTTAACTTTACTGAGGGGTGCTGTGTACTCCACCCCTGGGTGCCAGGAACCTCTTCTTCTCCAAGTCATAACTAAAAACATTATGTCCAGGCATCCTAAATGACCTCTAATAAGCAAAACTACCTGTTAGCGCCTATTGGAGCTACATCACTTCTTGCTTCAACCCTTAAAACTCCTTGTGGCTCTGAAAGTATGGCCATCCTTACTGGGCCTGTGGGCATTGAGCAAGGGGCTTCTTGCACAAAGCCATTCCCCTATTTTATGTGTTCAGGCCATTTATTGATTCGGTGTGCTCCTGGCTGGGCTTCTGAGGTATCCAAGGGAGGACTAGAGGGAGTCTTCCTTGCCAAATCTCTCTCTGTGATCCGCAAGCTTCCTGGTTCCACTCATCAAGATACACTTTGTTGTTGGCTTTTTAAATAACAAACAACTGTCTGTCCCTGTTATGATCTTCTGAGACTCTGGAGCCATAAACAGCTCTAGCGACAGCTAGTAAGTGCACACGCAGCTCTCAAAGCATCTCCCCAGGCACTTCAGAGCAGCTAAGTGGATAAAACTGATTCCAGCTATTACCTGGGTGGCCACTTATGTCTGTAGACCCCGCCTTGGAGACAAGAGGCAGACTCTGATGACAGGAGGCAGGAAGGGAGGGAAGTACCTGGTCCCTAGCCAACCTTCTCTTGCAGCTCATGCTTCTGAGCCTCAGTCCTGGCTCCCAAGGTGACCACTGGGAGCTTCCCTGTCCTGAGGTCATTGGGCATTCAACCTAAGGGGCGTAAACAGGTGTCTTACTCTCTGGAGAAAGCACATGTGGCTGAGGCCATGCACTTTTGCACATTCAGGAAAGGCCTCGGGAGTTGGTGACTTTTCATTTCCGGTTCAAAGGTGTAAGAGTTGGAGAAAACCAGAGAGGAGCAGAGGTGGGGGTGGGGTAGTTGATGTGTCCTGTCAGCGGACTTGGTGATGTTGCTTCCTGGTGTGTGGCTGGCTTATTTGTGACTCTTTTGTTGCTGTGACCAAAAGCTTGGCGAGAAACAACTAACTCAAAGAATGAAAGTTAGTTGTGGCTCACAGTTTGAGGCCACAGCCTGGCATGGCATGGAAGGCATGGCCAGAGAAACATGAAGCACCTGGCACACTGTGCCCACAGTCAGGAAGCAGAGAGATGGAAGTTGATATTCAGCTTCTGGTTTCCCTTTTCTCCAGCCTGGGTAAGACTCCAGGGTAAGACTTCCTCCTCAGCTAAGTCTTGCTGGGAACTCCCTCACAGACACATCCACAAGTGTCTCCACCCCACCCCATAGGTAATTCTAAATCCCATCCCATTAACAGAGATGATTGACCATCCTACCCAGTCTCCAGGCTTCTACCACACAAGAACTACAGCTTTCTCAGCTCTGTATCCACAGAACTCAACTCGGAGATTGATTTCTTATTTGGATGGATAGATAAATGTGATGCTTAACTGAACAACTACTGAAGCTCCTAAATCCTAACTCTCAAATTCTTCCTCAACTCCAATGAACTAGAATTCTCAGCAGGTCCTCAGATTTCCTGGGTGCAGCCTAGAAACCCAGGCCACAGAATTGGACCTCCTTGGTCTTGTACTAGAAACTCAGCTCTCAACCACAGCCAACTTGTCAAGGCATCCTTGTCTCTTGCATTCTGCTTCTATCTCCATGTTGAGATGGTACCTTTTGCCTCTGCTTAGAACTTTGGTCATTAGAATCCTTCCCCTCTGTAACGAGAGCAATCAGTAAGGCTGGTGGTTTTGATGTCTTCACCCCTGGATTTACTAACCTCATAAACTGTAAGATGCTATTAGAGGATTGATTTGGCCATGATACTTGTCCCTGTGTCTTCACCCCCTTCCTCCCATCCAGGGTACACTTTAAGGGGCTCTCATGTTCTCTAGCCTCTATTTGGGTCTTGCTAATAGTCATTTTGCTAATGACACAATGGGAGACCAGAATGGGAGGGAAAAGAGGCATTTTTTTTTTTAAATCTAAGACCAAGACTGCCCTAGGAGAAATTTGGGTGCTTAGGTTCCAATGAGCTTCCCTGGTAGATGGTACTTCACACGTCGTGACACACTCCTTGCTGGAAACAGCACAAAACAAAGTCTTGTGTGGCTTTTCTGAGACAGAACTCTTGGCTGCCAAGGCCCGGCTCTGCGGCTTTATTCCCTCACCCTTCTCCATTGCTGGAATGTACTGCATCCCTTCCCTTCACTGTAGAAGCCGTAGCTGGGAGTCCTCACTGAATAGGAGGGTGGACCTGAGGTGTCCCCAACATACCCTCAAGGCCAGCAGTGCTTCCTCCTTTAGGACGATGCTTGCTAGGCCCTGCTGCGTACAGTCTTAGTGGAGGTGGATATTCTGACTTTCACATCCCAACCCCCCACACTAGATGCTCCCCTAAGGCAGGGCCTGGGCCTTCGTGCTCTGTGTCTCATGGCCAAGTGCGGTATCTGGTACAAAATATTTATGAGGGAAGTCAGCGAGTCTGCACATAATGGATCCAAGAGGTACTTTCAAAGCTGTGGGTGGTAAAATCAATTGAAAAGGTTACGGCCAATGTTTTTTCAATGCAAGAATAGAATAGAAAATATCAGAGTGTGCTGTGCAGTGAGGGCAAGTTTCATTTCTTGAAAGTTTTGTCTCCTTATTACACGTGGACCAGATTCTCTCCTGGTTCACAAACTGGAAGGGTTTCTGGCTGTCCATGGTCCTAGTTGTACATCTGAAAGTTACTGGATGTAAAAATCTGGGTCTTCCCTTACCAAGAACTGTTTGCCAGTTGTCCGGTGACAATGGCCACTTAACCTCCATCTCTCTGGCCACTGTCCTTTGACCTTTTTCCTCTTCTCTTACCCCTAGAATGTGTACTACACAAGCAGCCAGCAGATCCACGTGGGGGTCCTGAGCCCCACTGTAGATGACGACGACAACCGCTGTCTGGTGGACGTCAACAGCCGGCCCCGGCTCATCGAGTGCAGCTACGCCAAGGCCAAGAGGATGAAGCTGCACTGGCAGTTCTCTCAGGTAGCAGTCCCTGGAGGGATGAGGCTCCTCCTTGGGGCACTGTCCGGACCCTTTGTGAAGAGCAATTCCCACACGAGTGACCGTGGAGTTTTCCTTCCTCGGTCTCCATCGATCTGGAGGCCTGTATTTAACTTTTTACCGTTCCTTGGCTGCTGTGTCTCTCGTGAAATAGAATCCCAGGTTTCGAACACCCAGTTTTGAATGCACTCTTTGCCTCTGCCCTAGGAGCTTCCCACCCCGGGGGACTCTACTGTTAGGGTCACTTTCAGCCTGTGGATGGGGAGGGACACTGGCCTTCTAGGTGGTAAGGTAGCTGATTTTTACAGGAGGTGAGGGAGCCCCACATGGCCCTAGAACTCCAGAGCGTCTGGGGACCTGAACAGAATCAGGGGAGGCCAGGAGGGACTGTCACACTCAGGAGACTAAGTAGCAGAAGCCCATCATTCAAACCTGCCAGCCAGTTGCTTCTGCCACAAGGAAGGAGGATTCTGGCAGGGCAAGACAAGGAACTTTGACCTAATCACTGTCCCTTGCATGGGGGTGGAAGATGCAGGTGGAGGTGAGGGATGTATCACACTCTGCGGGCACAAGACATCTTTGCCCTGTGGTCTGGGTACAAGAACCAGGGGTCTTCGAGAGAGCCATCGTTGTCTTAAGTGAGTGGTGGAGGTCAATACTAAACAGCAAGTTCAAGTCAAGGTCATAAACTTAGGGGCTAGTAAAAGATTGAAATGAGAGTCTGAGCCAGGAAAGCGGATGGAAAGGAAGTTTATAGGGAACCAAGGGAGTTCATCACAGGCAAATAGAGGGTGCTTCGGCAGCTCTGGGTGGCCGAGCTGGGCCTGTAAAGTATGTCGGGTTCAGTGAAAAGAAATAAGGGACAAGAGACTTTGTTAACTCCCACCGTGGTGCCTTACCGACCATTGTGCGTCATTTCCAGTAGGAACAACACACCATGCCGATTACTACTCATAAAACACCCCAAATTCCTTTTTATACTTGTAATCATGGTGTTACATTGGAAGTGGCCCCCTTGGAGACCAGGATTGGGCCTGGGGTGTGAGATTGGGGTTTGTTTCTTCCTACTTGATCTCCTGCTGAAGCCCTGGGTTCCCCAGTCATACCCTGTTGCTGTACCTGGCAAGACACTTGTCCCTTGTCCCCCAGCTAGATGTCTGTCTCAGAGGGACACAGAATGGAGCTTCCCTCCTTCAGGTTCACAGGCAGAAGACGCTCAGTGGTGTGGCTATGGAAGGCATTTGAGGTCTGGGTGTGTGCAGAAAATATGACTGTGGTTTCTTTTCTCAGGCCAGGAACAAAGCAGGCTCATAGGCTGAGGGCCAAGGGGTGAGGGGGATAGACCCTGGGCCTGGGGAAGTGCGTGGAGCTGACTTTGCTAGGATGAAAACAGATTTATGCCTGAGACTTCAGGGCCTTTGACAGTTACACCACCGTCTATGGATGCCACTCACTACTGCATTCAGCCAGGCCTCCTGGGGCCCTAGGTTCAGTTCAGAGTGATTCAGAAAGTTAGGGGGACTGGGGTGGGTCAAGGCTGGTGGCTTTTCAGAAGACAGGGTACTGGAGCATTGCAACTGTTCCCTTTGATAGAGGGAACAGCATGAGTCAGAAGGTGAGCCATCAAACCTACACTGAGTCACAGCACTCGGAGGAGTGTGGTCTGATCCTGGAGGGCATAGTTGGGAGTTGCCAGAGCAGAGACTAGAAGGGACACTGGGCATCATCGTGGAGGCTACCAGGGGATATATAGCCCCAGGGTACAGTTAGGCCTAGGCTTTCAAAGCCCCCTCTGGTGGAGATTAGGGAGCCGTGTTAGAAGTTTCAAGAAAGGAAAAGAGACAGAATGAAGAGTTAGCAGGAGGCTGACATGAAGTTTGAAAGTTAGATAGTCTCAGCTCCCTCTCTGCCATGACTTTGCGGGCCCTCAGGATCCTGGCCTGCCTCAAGGTCACTACCAGGCAGCATCTGCGACTGACTCAAGGGTCTCAGACTTTGGACGTTGAACTAGTTTATGAGTGTGGCTGACTCCTGAGATGGGCGAGCACGTGCCTCACTTCCCTGAAGGCATGAAGACAGCTGCTTCTGGACTATCTAGAAATAGCAGGCAGGCAGCTCTGTCTGTCAGTCTGTCTTTGAGCCTTGGTCTCAGGAAAAAAAAACATCTCACAGTGAGGTCCTTCCTTCCTCCATTGCACAACATAGTCTCAAACAGGCATCCCCATAGGTCTCCTACCTGAATGGACGCATTGACCAGCCAAGCAGACAGGGCTGCTGTGGAGCATGCTGGGGGGCAGGCAGTTTTCAGCCACTTTAGCATATGTCTAATTAAAACTCCCCAGGTGCTCTGGCAACCACATCTTTGATCTCTCTACCAAAGGGAACTGTCTGGAAGTAATATCTTTCAATTCCTAGTTTGCAAACCCAGAACAGCCACTTCCCATTTACTATTCAATAATGACTAGATGTGCAATTTTTGCTTGATGTAAAATGATCGATATTCATCTGGAGACCTGGAATCCATCCATCCACTGCTCATTGATGAGGGGATCACTGCTCACAAGGCCAAAGGCAGCCCGGAGCCTCTTAAATGATTAAAGTCTTGTACTTGAGCTTTGGAGAGAGCTCAGTCAGTAAAATGCTTGCCTCACAAGCACAAAGACGTGAGTTCAATACTCAGTATCCACATAAAAAACAAACAAACAAACCAAGGAATATGGCAGCGCAGACTTGTAATCCCAGAGCTGGCAGCAGGCTCAGTGAGCGACCCTGTCTTGTGACTGCCGCACAGGCACACACACACATAGTCTTGTACTTGGGCTAATTTTCTTGTAACACATTTTACTCTTTGCAAATTATGCAGTGACCTGACCAACTAGAATGTTCTGCTGCAGAAGCCGAGATGGAAGGAGACTTCTCTGGGTGCATCTGGAATCTCCTTTCTGGTTTCAAAGTCTGCATTATTTACTCTCCTGAGGACCATGTTCACAGACACGCCGAATTAATTTAAAAATAATTCAGTGGGATTCTCTTAGGTTCTACACAAAAAAAGGCATTTGCATATCTCTGTTCCATCTCATACCTTGGTTTTCTGTTTAACAAATAGTTTGCGCCCTCTCTAACCTCTGCAAGCCTTTCTGAATTTGCAATGCTTCTGGCTGCACTGTTAGACCCTGATATTCTGAAACCACATTGGATGAAAACATCTCCTGGCAACACTGATGTACAGGGCTCTGATGAGCAATTTTCTGATGATGAACATTCTTTCTTTCAGTCATTCATCAAACATTTATTGAGCACAGAGGTTTGGCAGGGGGGATGTGGACGTGAATCAGACACAGCCTCTGCCCTCGAGGAGCTCAGGGACATGTAAACATACAACAAAACAGGCTGATGAGTGCAAAAACAGAGGGCTGTGCAGTGCTCTGGGAGCCCAGGGTGACTGGCTCCATGTGCAGAACTCAAGAATGTGTGCAGTGTGTTTGACCTGACTCTTGAAAGCTGGAACAGAGAGTTCCTAGAGAGAGGGAGGGAAAGGAGCACCCCAAACAGAAGTTCTGCCTGGGCCAAGGCATAGCAAAACCGAGCATTCTTTCTAGCATCCTGTCTACTGTGTGGTGTGGGTGGAGTGTGATGGGACAGGTGGGAGGGGAAGGTTGGTAAAGACACTCCCAACTTTAGACTTCACCTCAAATCAAAGGGAGGCTCTAAGGAAGCTCGTGAGCTGTGTTGGTCAATTTCCATTACTATGACAAGAAGAGATTGTTGAATACACAATTCTAGTTAGCTCTACTGACGGCCTCCTGAAGGGTGGTGTCACCATGGCTAGAGATGGGAGCTCACAATAAAACACAGCTCAGGCTCTCTTGGTAGCAACATGCTTTCACAATAACTAACACAAAGGTTCCACAGAGGGCAAGGCCCTCAGTGACCTAAGGACCTCCCAATAGGCCCTACCACCACAACACCACCATGCCAAGGACACAGACATCAACACAAGGAAGACAAACCTTGTCTAAACCATAGCAGTATCCCTGGTGAGATCTGGAGATACCCACAGCAGCTGGGTGGGATGCCCACGGCAGCTGGGTGGAGTAGAAGAGGGGTGGCTGGAGGCTGGGAAGAGAGGCAGGAAGGGGCTGTCCTATTATCCCCAGGATAGGTGAGAGGATTTGGTAGTCACAGAGACAGCAGTTGGGGAGGACATTGAGAGGCATGTCAATGCTCTGTTGGTCACAGTGATGGATTAGTGATAATGGCTGGGTGGGGGCTGGGATGGGATTAGTAACCCATGATAACCTATAGCTCCAGATTTACAGTTGGTAAGGTAACAAGAGTCACTCCCTCAAACAAATTTCTCTCAAAAGGGAAATGGTAGGTCAGTAGGTAATAGTTGCTTTCTGTGAGTCTTCTAACTTCTGTCTTCCCCCATTAAAGAAATCCCCAAACTATCTCCTGGTATTGTAAATTCCTATTAATTAAGTGTACAACCTTCAATCTCCTGGGAGTTGCCTTCAGCCTAGGATTTAGAGGACATTCTAAAATTCCGGTATAGCATTAATGGGAGAGGCATTTTGGTCAGTGATCTCTGGACCAGGAAACAGAAGAAGCAGATGCTCTGTCACTGGGAGGACATCAATAGAGCAAAGAATCCCTGGCCATCTCTGTGGTTTTCAATAGTTAATCCAGTGCTAGAGTCACCTCTACAAGATCTTCCTAGGGGACCTGAGAAGGCTGCTGGGACGTGTCCTCTCGGTCCAGCTTCCCCACGGCCCTCCTGTGCACCTGAATGGCGGTAGAAGGGATGGGTGTGCTGAAGAACAGAAAGATGGCAGCAAGAGGCCTTGAGCTCCTCATTCTGGAATCTCAAGGATGGGCTAGTGTGGGGAGGTGCCACTTGTCCCGTGGAGCCCTGCAGAAGGTCAGAGAGGGAAAAAATCAAAAGCCAGGGTCAGAGTTCTCCACGAGGTTGGTGGATCACC